TGTGTCTATCATGTTAAAACGTGATTAGACACAAATATAAAAACCATGAAACAAGCCACCATTCTTTGACAATCTGAGCAAAGATAAAATGCCTAAGGAACAACATGAATGACTTGCAAAGGATGGGCTCTTCACTGTAAGCACCATGAAAAAGCGGGGAGCACAAATGGATGAGTGTTTTCAGTTATACACACTGAATTGAACTTTTGGCACTAGGAATCAGAGCATTTTGTCATATAGCATTAACACATATTGTAAAAGTGCGTAGTGTCAAAGGAATAGAACCACCAGCATTCAAACGCAGCTTTGGCAGCTAAGCAGTGAAACACTCTACAGTACGTCTCTCTGTTGTCCGTCATTGAAAACACTGGTAGCAACTTTGAAATAAAAAAAGAAAAAAAAAAAGAAAAAAAGGAGCTGTAACCCCTTTTATTTTCTGTTTAAAATCAAACAGAAAACAAACATCATTTCTGTTATACACTAACGTTTCCAAAGTACGTCATTTGTACAAGAGAAGGGCTGACAAAAATGTGTTTACAGAGATCCAAACATGAGGGCGTACAAGCACCTCACACAGGTTTCCACTCGTACTCAGGAGGAGCCACTTCATAATCACCGGCACTAAACAGAGTTCTTTGCCAGGTGTTCTAGGAAATCATGAAGATAATTCAGTAATAAAGCAAGGCTCTTCTCATCCAGAGGTGTGTAGGCCAGCATTGCTCCAACACGTACAAATAATCTCAGTAGATGTGGCGCTGCATGCACCTTGGACATGGCGCATCAGGGTGATCTGCAAGGATGTCAGCATACCGCGGTCTCTCATGTTTGCAGAGCAGCTGAGTGCCCAGCATTACACTGAAGTGTTCCTTGATCCCTGCCACAACTTCATTAACAGCATACTCCTTATTTTCTGTGTTTCTTCAAGATGTCTTGTAGTTTGCAGAATCCTCTAGAATGGAATCCACATTCTTCTTGTCAGGAAGATAAAAGAGCTCTTTTTGCCAGGTAATTAAGTCCCAGTCTTCAACAAGCCATGGTTTTAGTTCTTCAGGAATCTTTACTTTAACTTCAACTCTGTTCATGAATGTTTCCTCATTTTCAACAGTAGAAGCTACTCGGGCCCTTTCCTCGCGAGGAGACTGAGGTGTCTCACTCGTACTACCACCGTCTCCATTTCCAGGTGTTTTCTGTTTGTTCTTTTTTGTTTTCACGCCAACATTTTTCTGTTGCAAACCAGAAGTCTTCCTTCCGGGGCAGCCCCTCTCATCTTGCCCTCTGCGTACTGCTTCTGATTGGCTTTGCTTGGAAATGCAAAGGAACTAGAGTAGATAAAACAGCTTTGAAAACAGGATAAAGTGGGAGGAATCACACCCAATTTCAAAACTTATGATATGGCTACAAGAAACTGCGGCATTGGTGGAGGGATGACTCTCTGATCAGTGGAGAGAACTTGGGAAGCGGCCTGTGGGATTATGGCCAAATGATTCCTGACCGAGGTGCAAACAAAGCAATTTGGTGGAGGAAGGATAGTCTTCAACTAACTGGACATATATGGGCAAAAAATTAATCTCAGCCTAAATCTCATACCTCACAATAGATCTTAGGTTTAAATATAAAACATAAAACTATAAAGAAAACCTTTGGGACTTATCGAGTAAAGAGTTCTGAGATGTGACAGCAAAAGCAGGACAAACTACAGACCGTGAGAAACATTTGCAAACCGTGTGTCGTAGACGGTATAGTGAAGGCTCAGAACTCAACAGTAAACACACACACACACACAGCAGTCCAGTTAGAAAATGGGCAAAGGACATGAAGAGACATTTCCAAAGAGGACATCCCATGGCAGATAAACACATGGAAAGGTGTTCGACGTCACTGTTCTTAAGAAAAAGCACGTCAAGACCGTGGTGAGATGTTACCATGCTCCTAAACAACTAAATGTGAAAAACTAAAGTGAACAACAGTGAGAGCACCGGGTGCCAGTGAGGATGTGAAGAAACCATCTCTCACATGTTGCAGGTGGGCGTGGAAGGTGGTGTGGCCCCCCAGGAGCAGAGTTGGCAGTTCCTTTAAAAACTGAACATACTTATCAGAGCAGCTGCACTCCTGGGCATTTATCCAGAGAAACAAATATCTGCATTCACACAAAAATCTGTACCCAAGTGTTTGTAATAGCCACAAACTGGAAACAACCCAGATGTTCCTCAAAGGTGAATGGTAAACGAGCTGTGTCACGTCCACACCATGGATAGCGCTGAGCAGTAAAAAGGGACAAGCTGATGATGCCACAGCAGCTGGATGGATCTCAGATACATTGTGCTGAATGACAAAAGCCAACTCAACATGCCATGCACCACACGACTCTGTTTATGCAAGGTTCTCAGAAGTTGTGTGGGTGTGTATGAGACTGTATGAGTGCTGGTTATTCGTTCACCGAGTCTCCAACCCCTCATGTGGGCTGGCGCTTCGGTGCCTATCCTTCAGCGAGCTGTGTGGAAAGAAGCAGGATGTTCAGGGCAGGAGCGGGTGGATGATCCCCGGAAGAGAGGCGCAGCGGGCCCCCAGCGTCCACCCAGTGTCCAGCCAGCTGCCTCTGAACCTCAACTGGCCCTGGTCGCCCAGCCCTGTCCAGTCACCCACACAAACAGCTGCTGTCAGGAGAGGGAGAGAGTGAACTTCCCTCGTGTGTCCCCCTTCGCTTACCGCTTTTGTGCTTGATTTGGACCCAGAATCTTGGTGTTGGCTGTAGGCCACGCCCTGTGGGCCACAATTCTGTTGTGTTTGGTGTGAGGGGCTGAAAGACCGTGGGAAGCTTTGAGTCTTGTTCTCCGTGATGCTGAGACCCTCATTCTCAGTTCTGAGTGTTTCGACTTTGTTAACCGCTGGATCCTAAGCACTTAAAATAGTACTTGCTCTTAGGGCTTCCCTGGTGGCGCAGTGGTTGAGAGCCCGCCTGCCGATGCAGGGGACACAGGTTTGTGCCCCGGTCCCGGAGGATCCCGCATACCGCGGAGCGGCTGGGCCTGTGAGCCATGGCCGCTGAGCCTGCGCGTCTGGAGCCTGTGCTCCACAACGGGAGAGGCCACAGCAGTGAGAGGCCCGTGTACCACAAAAAAAAAAAATAGTACTTGCTCTTAAATGTTGAGAGAAATAAGAATATGTAACGTTAATTATTAAGGCCACAAGCTTTTTAAAAAGTAAACAACATTATTATATATAAACATTGTTAAGGGACTTCCCTGGTAGTGCAGTGGTTAAGAATCTGCCTGCCAATGCAGGGGACACGCGTTCGAGCCCAGGTCCAGGAAGATCCCACGTACCGCGGAGCAACTAAGCCTGTGTGCCACAACTACTGAGCCTGCACTCTAGAGCCCGCAAGCCACAACTACTGAGCCCACGTGCCTAGAGCCCGTGCTCCGCAACAAGAGAAGCCACTGCAATGAGAAGGCCGCGCACAACGAAGAGTAGCCCCCGCTCGCTGCAACCAGAGAAAGCCACGTGCAGCAACAAAGACCCAACGATGAAGACCCAGTGCAGCCAAAAATAAAAATAAATAAATAAATAAATTGATTAAACATTGCTGAAACTTAAGGCAAAGTCTAAGAAGTCTTTATGATGTATATTCTTTTTTTTTTTTTGCAACTAAAACAGGATTTTTAAAATTGTGGTAAAATGTACATTACATAAAATTTTCCACCTTAGCTATTTTTAAGTGGCACTAAGTACCTTCACATTGTTGTGCGACCGTCACTACCATCCACCTCCAGAACTTTCTCATCTTCCCAAAGTGAAGCTGTGTCCCCAGGAAACACTAGCTCCCCAGCCCGTTAACCACTGTCTGTCTCTGTGAATTTGTTTGGTGTAGGGACCTCGTATAAGTGGACTCATACACTATTTGTCTTTTTGTGTCTGGCTATATTCTTTATTTTAGATAACTTATTGATAACTTTTTTATTCTATGAGTGACACATATCTGTTTTGCAAAATATAGGAAATACATAAACCGAAGGAAGAAAATAGACGTCACCTTTAAGTTCTACTCAGATAGCCACTAACAACATTTTTTTATCTTTTAGAGAGAGAGAGACATTATAATTTGTTGTCTGCTTTTCACTTAGCAGGGTATCATGAATATGTTTCCGTGTCCTTAAATATTTTCTGTGTAACCATTTCTCTTCCGCCTCTCTTCCGGGTATCGCCTCATAATTTTTTATAGTTTTTTTAGTTGAAGTATAGTTGATTTACAGGTTTCAGGTGTACAGCAAAATGGTTCAGTTATACATGTACAGATATGTATATATTCTTTTTCAGATTTTTTCCATTATAGTTACTACAATATACTGAGTGTAGTTTCCTGTGCTATACCATAGGTCCTTGTTGTTTATTTTATATATAGTAGTGTGTGTCTGTCAGTCCCAAACTCCTAATTTATACCTCTCCCTTTCCTTTCTGGTAACCGTAAGCTTGTTGTCTATGTCTGTGAGTCTATTTCTGTTTTGTAAATAAGTTCATTTGTATCATTTTTTTACATTCCACATATAAGTGATATCATATGATATTTGTCCTTCTGTTTGTGACTTACTTCACTTAGTATGTTGATTTCTAGGTCCATCCACGTTGCTGCAAATGGCATTATTTCGTTCTTTTTTATGGCTGAGTAGTATTCCATTGTATATGAGCACCACAGCTTCTTTATCCACTCCTCCATCGATGGACATTTAAGTTGCTTCCATGTCTTGGCTATTGTAAATTGTGCTGCGGTGAACATTGGGATGCATGTGTCTTTTCAAATTAGAGTTTTCTCCAGGTATATCAGAGGCATCATAATTTAATGAACAGTCTCCTTCCTGTTCTCGTGCAGTCAGGTTCCAAGGTCTGTCTGTCTGTGTGCCCGACTTCACCGTCCTGAATGGTGGCTCCTTGACGTTTGGCCTGGTGTCTGTGGAGCAGGTCTGCCTGTGAGCAGCTCACTGACCAGGCATCTCTTCTTTTTCCAGGATGACAGAGCTTTTCAGTTTGATTGACACCATGTGGCCTCCAGTGGCGCCTCTGAAAGCACCAGGCCACGGGCCAGCCTTCGAGGTAAGCCCAGCATTGCAGCGTCCCCCAACCCCACACCCCCCATCGCACCTGCTCTGTGGCCACCAGGCGCTGAGCCAGTGCCAGCCCACAGTGCACATCCCCAAGAAGCCCAGGTCCAGAGGGTACGAGCCGGTACAGAGATCCAGACCCACTCGCCTCGCTCACAGGCTGCGGCCTGGCTGCCTTCCACACGGTGCCGCGCGCATGCCTCCTGAGGTTACTTTACGTGACGCCTCTCGACCCCCATCGTCGAGGGCCACTGTGCACTGAGGGTCTCAGCCTCGCACCGAATAAGAAGCAGGTGGCTTCCCCGCCACCTTCCTGTCAGTAGTAGAACCAACACTTAGTCCCCAATTAGAGCAAAAACTCAGTAAACAAAACCCATGGGTATCGGTTCAGCCGCCAGCTCAGCCAGGGGTTTCCCTTTCCTTCCTCATCACATTGCTTATGGCAGCCAGTTGCTCACAGGTAGCAAAATCGAGCGATGAAAATGTGCCCCTACTCCCCGCCCTGAGCCCTGTCCAGCAGGCTGGCAGCGGCTGCTTTGGGCTTTAGTCCCCAAGCTGAGAACGGGGGCTGCCGTGCTTGTGTGGTAGCTGACTTCCTAGCACAGGCCGAGACAGTGGCTGTGTCCTGTGCTAGACCAGCAGCCTGGTGGTCAGGAATGCCATTTCTAGATTACTTCCAGGGAAGAAGTTTCTAAATGGTGTCTTCAGTGTACTCTGAAGAATAAACTTCTAAAATGAAATCTTGAATTGGTAATAAACTCAAAAGCACAGACGTTCTTATGCTTGTTTCCAGAGAGAAACAACATAACCCATCTCTTACAGAGCCTTCCAGAGAAACAGCCTGCATCTGTGAATAAAGAGGTCTTTATTAAAGAGTAGATTTATATTAATAGTGTATTTGAGTCTTTTAACAACACATTCGCCTTCATTTTAAACAGGAAAAAACTCATCTGCCTCCTCCTAGCTTCTGTTACGTCCTCACTGCTCATCCAAACCTGGGACAAATTGATGCAATTGAAGAAGACTCTATTTCGAAGCTTTACCAGCCTCCGATTCCCCACTTCTTAAGAGAAATTCTCCAGGTGGCGTCTTTGTTTGTACCCTGGTCTCAGTTACTTTGCTGTGTCCGTGAGCTTGGGGAGACATTCCTCTCTGTTTTCAATACCTTTCCAGACTGATGGCCCCTGTACCCGTTGCAGTTTCTATGCCAGAGTGATTTACCAAAGACCACAGGTAATCCATCTCTCTTTTCTCAAATCGTGTTGCATAGCTTATTAAAGGATAATCTCTCTCAGAAACTGCTGCAGTACCAAAAGAGAAAAACACTGTTGAACTTGAGCTGGGTGCACTCTGTGCTGACACGGTGGTCAGTCCATTCCTTGTGCAGGTGGGGCTGCAGCCCCTGGTGAAGCGCTGGGTGTGCAGCCGCCAGGGGGAACCCACCCGGCTCTCAGCCCGGGCATGTCGGCCCCTTTCTGACACAGGCAGGCTGTAGAAAGGAAGGAGCAGCTGAAGCCTCCTTTCCGGGGTGAAAGTAGGAGTCTCAGGATGGAGCTCAGCCATTTCTAAGGTCTCTTTCTTCCGCAGTCGAGAGGAGCCTGTGGTCGCTGGGAGACCTTAGGCAGCTCTCTGGGGCAGCACCCAAGTCAGAGGGCCGAGGCCAGGGGAGGGGTGCTCTCGGCCCACGAGTGCATGCCCTCAGTCCTGCAGGAGCCTCCACTGGACCTTAGCTCAGAGCTGGACAGCCGCGTGCCACAGCCACTCCCTGTTCGCTTGTAGGCACTCGAGAGAGAATCAGCACCTGTCCCGGAACTCGAGGGCTCTCATCTTCCTCCCTGTAACTTTCTCTAACTTCCTGTGTGTAATCACCCTCTCAACCACGTGAGCACTCTCCCCCACCCAAGTCACAGCTCCTGACCGTGCCGCCACCTCCTCCGCCCGGTCGTGTCAGCCGCCATGCCATGTGGGATCCGCAGCCTTCCTACAGGGGCCTTCCCAGCCAAACCCTTGTCCCCGTTTGCATCTACTGGATCCTAATGGCAGAGTGGCATTATGTCCTAATCACCTCCCGAAGGCCCCATCTCCCATTACCATCACGTCACATTGGAGTGTAGGACTCCAACGTATGAACTGGTGGGGCGGGGAGAGGCAGAGGAGGGGGACATAAACATTCAGTTCGTAACTATTCCTAACCCTTGGGAAGCTTGTATCTAGCAGGAAAGAAGAGTGTGTGTGCTGACGGTAAGGCAATGTGATGATATGTGAACACGTGGCATTGGGAGGAAGGGCATGGCTTCTTCCTGGTGGGTCAGAGGGCAGGCAGAGTGGAGCCAGGGACGGGCAGGTCTCCCCCCGCAAAGGAGCCCTTAAACCAGCTGCAAGGTGGGAGCTCACGGGGCTCAGCCGTGTCCTGGGGGCTGCTGACCAAGACAGACAAAGGCTATTGCATGTTTTGAAATACTTATTGAAATGATATCAGAAATTGTTAGTGTTAATAATAATCATCTAAGATTATTGCTTTTAAAAAATAATTTTGGCTCTAAGAAAAGCTTCTAAGTTAACAGCCTGACTGTGTCTTTGAATTATAGGTAAACAGTTCGCTTCTGGAGCCAAGGGAGCTGTGGCTGGTGGTGACCGACGTTACTCTGCAAACACAGGACGAGGGCTCGGGTCTCCCCAAAACCATGCCTGTGCGCGTGGCCCCCTCATGCGTGCTGGGCCAGGAAGTCCGGGACGCGCTCTCTGAGGCCACCTCCAAGAGCTTCTTCTTCAGGGATGCTCTCCGAGACCAGGGTATGCTTTCCTCTTACTGACGGCTCTGATGTGGTGACTGAGAGATGCCAGAAAATGGCTTTGTGGATTCTTGATGTCTCTGTCTTGCTCTGGAAATGCAGGCCCCATCCCGAAGTCCACTGCGGACAAGACCCCTGTGATGGCCACATGGACAGAACCAGAACCCCCTGCATGCAGTGCCGGCACAGCAGCAGGAGATGCCAGTGGTCACTCAAGGGTGGTCTGTTGGGGTCACACTTTACAGGTGCAGAAGCCACCTGAAGCCACTGCCTGGCGCATCACTTTTTAAAACAAATGAAAAGCTAGAACATTTAAACGCGTGCTTTCGTCCCTCAGTATCCACCCCTCTGCGGACACCAAGACCTGCAGGTGCTCAGGTCCCTTCTGTAAAATGGTGGTATCTGCATATGAGCTGCACACATCCTCCCATTTTTTTAAAAAAATAAATTTATTTATTTATTTTTGGCTGTGTTGGGTCTTCGTTGCTGTGCACGGGCTTTCTCTAGTTGCGGCGAGCGGGGGCTACCCTTTGTTGCCGTGCGTGGGCTTCTCATTGCGGTGGCTTCTCTTGTTGTGGAGCACGGGCTTTAGTAGTTGTGGCACATGGGCTCAGTAGTTGCTGCACACGGGCTCTAGAGTGCAGGCTCAGTAGTTGTGACCCATGGGCTTAGTTGCTCTGCAGCTTGTGGGATCTTCCCGGCCCAGGGCTCGAACCCGTGTCCCCTGCATTGGCAGGCAGATTCTTAACCACTGCGCCACCAGGGAAGCCCTCCTCCCACACTTTAAATCTTCTCCAGATCACTTACGATACCTAATACGATGTCAGTGCTGTGTAAATACTTGCCGGTGTGCAGCAAATTCAGATTTTGCTTTCTGGAACTTTTTTTCCAAATATTTTCCATCCACCGTTGTTTGAATCTGTGCTAGTTTGAATCTGCAGATGCAGAACCTGCAGATACAGAGACCTAACTGTATGCTTAGATTAGTCAGTACTTTTTTCCAGGAATCAAAATAGGGTCCTGCTTAGACTGTATATTTTTCAGTGTATGTAACTTGCATGACACAGGATTTGCCTTTAGGAATGGAATTTGAACGCAGTGTTTGTGTGCTCTTACAGCTTAGTGCACAAGGCTTTGGGCTTCCTTTCTGCACGGTGCCGTGTCTCTGGACACACGGGGGCCGCACAGTGGTGCCCTTGGCTCCCCCAGTCCCCCCAGCTCCCAGGTGGCTGGCAGAGGACACATCTCTACTGGCAGGAGAACTCGCTTGTTTCAAACCTCAGAGCTGCAATAATCTGAAGTGTCTCTGTTGGCAGGTCAGCTTGTTTGTGTTGCACGAACTGTCCTCCTGCTTCCAAAGCCCCAGCTGGGTGTGGCCTCTGGTGCCTGGGAGCTGACGAGCCCTGTGAGCCTCGATGAGCTGGATTCTGTCACTCGGGTCAACTCCATTTGCAGCGTCCAAGGTGGGTAGTCGATTTTGATGGAAGAGGTATTTGTATTTCCTTAAGTATCACACTTACCTTATATTCATTTGCTCATTTGTTCATCGAGTATTTGTTGCGTGCCTGACATTGGATGCGTGACAAAGACGCGACCAGAGACAGGACGGCAGCCTGCCGTGCTCTGAGTGCCTGTCGCCAAGACCTCACCTGTAGGAGGCACGGACAGGAGCCCTGAGCTGAGATGGCAGGGGAGGGGGGCTGGTCAGGTGCAGGGTGGGGGCAGGAGGAGAGCAGGGCTTACAAAGGCTGCTGACAGGGCAGGTGGATAAGCGCCAGAGTCTGGGAAGAGGCTGCAGGGGCATCTGGAGGGGCCGGAGGGGCTGCGGCCTCAGGTAGCACGCAGGGTGGGGGGCGAAACAGGGCAAGGAAGTAGATCTGCAGGTGGATTAGTCAGGAGGGAAACTGACAGGTAGGGTAACAAATTCAGTACAGGGGAGCGAGACGTGGACGGAGGGCAGGAATGTCTGTGAAAGCAATTTGCTGAATTAATTTCCAAAAAGTACAGAAATTCCAAAAGTAACATTGATGGCCTGTCTCTTCCACCCTTGGACCACTAGATTCCTGAACCCCACTGTGGTTTTTATGAACAGCAAAAGCTGTGATGCCACTGATGCTTGAATCCACGGTCCCTGTGTGCTTGTGAGATTGAGCACGTGTTCATTGCGTTGAGGCCCTTTGGATTTTCCCTTCTTTGCGTTTCCTTTTACCGTTAGTACCGAAACATAACTGCTACAGCCTGGTGGTCCTGAAGAAGGCAGGCTCTGTCACCTGTGTCCGGGTCCCCACTTTCTCATCTCTGCAACAGGGATAACAGGACTGACCCCAAAAAGGCCTTGCTGAGGAGTAAATGAGCTGGTGGCGAAGGCGGACATTCAGTGCTCCGGGCGGCAGGCGGCTGGCTGGGGGCTGGAGGCAGTGACGGCAGGGCTGGGGCGCCAGGGCCCTCAGGATTGCTCTGGCAGAGTTGGTCAAGGCCTTCCAGACAGGTGAGGGCACGTGGAGAACGCCGGGCAGCCGTGAGAGCTTCGTGTGCTGGCGGAGCGGGGCTGTCGTGGGCAGGCTGGCCCTGTGCTGTTCTGCCGTCCCCGGCCGTGTTAACGAGGTGGGATGGTCAGATTTTTGTCTTAAATGAAGCGATTCTTTCAGCACCACGGATGGATCGCCTGTGGTGCAAAGCGGGGGCTGGCTGTTGGCAGGAAGATGATTGCGCTGCTGTTTGGAGGAGCACGGGGGAGGCTGGCCGCGAGGCTGGAGGCCGAGAGGGCCAAACTCGAGCAGTCTCAGGCAGCCTGTCCACGGCCTGTGGTTTCCAGCCGCCCGCCAAGAGGCTCCCATCCCCTCACCTCTCTCAGAGCGGGGTCGCTCCCGGGCGCAGAGCAGGGAAGGATGAGAAAGCAGCCCCCAAGTGACAGTCCCCACCCCTCCCACTTTGGCTTTAGGAGACCACAGGCATCGCCACCACCCGAAGCACCATTTTATGAGAAAGTGCACCTGAAGAGCTGGCTTCCTGAGGAGGGTTTGGAACCCGACCCACTCTTACCTGCAGCCAGGGAGTAAGAAGCACAGCGGTGCAAGCAGAGGAGAATGTGTAGACACTTGTAGGGACAGAGAGAAGACCCGAGTTTTCTGAAGACCCTAATATTTTTTGTTTTTGTTTTTTGGGGTTTTTTTTGCGGTACGCGGGCCTCTCACTGCTGCGGCCTCTCCCGTTGCGGAGCACAGGCTCCGGACGCGCAGGCTCAGTGGCCACGGCTCACGGGCCCAGCCGCTCCGCGGCATGTGGGATCTTCCCGGACCGGGGCACGAACCCGCGTCCCCTGCATCGGCAGGCGGACTCCCAACCACTGCGCCCCCAGGGAAGCCCCTAATATTTTTAAAAAATAATGATTTATAGTGAGATTTACAGAACACAGACTTAACCATTTTGAAGGGAGAAGCTCAGTGGCAGTCCATTAACAGGGTTGCGCAACCACCTCCTAGTTTACATTTTGGCTTTTGTCATCCGAGTGGCTTTGAAAACAAAGTGGCAGTCTGGTTTTCAATCACAGTGTCATTGAGATGAAACTCACCCTTTTAAAGTGTACAGCTCGCTGTTTCTAGTGTGCTCACACAGTTGTGCAAGCACGCCCACTGACTAGCCCCAGAGAGGAACCCGTGTCTGTCCGCAGTCATGCCCTGTCCCCGCCCAGCCCCTGGCTTCTGCTTCTCTACCTTCAGTCTCATGGATACTCACGCACATGAATCCTGCACTGTGTGCGCCTTGGTTTCTGGCTGCTTTCACTCAGCAGAACATTTTCGAGGCATTTCTCAGGCTGCATTCCTTTCTGTGGCTGAATATTCCATTGTATGGGTAGACCCTGTTTTGTTTAAACATTCATCAGTTGATGCACATTTTTTTTGATACTGTGATTCATGCTGCTGTGAATATTCATGTAAGGCCTTTGGGTGGACGTGTATTTTCCGCTCTTTGGGTGTATTCCTGTTGTTTCAGATGGTGTTCATGTGGGCCATGATCATAAGTAGAGAACAGCGGCAGAACCAGGAAGAAGCTGTGCTCCCTCCAGAGAAGGTAACCCTTCCGAGGGACAGAACTGAGGCTGAGATTGGGCCCTCCCGGCGCAGACAGCATGACCACAGGGCAGTGTCGGGAAGCGTGGCCCACGGTGAGAGATCCAGTGTCCACTGTGGCCTCTCTGGAGAAGGGCAGTGTTGATGGAGGGTCTCTGGCCAGCAGCACCCGTGGAGCGACACCTGGGCAGTGGAGGGAGAGCTGGGCCAGCAAAGTCCTCCTTGTGCCCCCAGAGCAGAGCTCTGCGACAGGTCGCATCCCCTGTGCTTCACGTCCTCACCAGCATTTGGTGTTCGCAGGGCTTTAGATTTTAGATTGTCAGCCATTCTGACAGGTGTGTGATGGTGCCTCATTGCTATTTTAGTTTGCGTTTCCCTGACCACACGTGACGTGGAGCGACTTTCACGTGCTCATTTGCCATGCGTATATCTTCTGTGGTGAGGTGTCTGTGAAGCACTTTGGTCCATTTTTTATTCGGGTTGTTCATTTTCTTATTGTTGAGTTCTAAGAGTTTTTTCATATATTTTGGATAACAGCCCTTTGTCAGATAGGTCTTTTGCAAATATTTTTTCCTGTCCTTGGCTTGTCTCTTCATTTTCTTAACAGCGTCTGCAGACCAGTTTTAATTTTAATGAAGTCCAACATCAACTTGTTTTTTTCGTGAATTGTGCTTTTGGTGAATCTAAACACTTGTTGTCTGATCCAAGGTCACCCAGATTTTCTCCTGTTTTCTTCTAGGAGTTGTACAGTTTTGCATTTTACACTTAAGTCTATGATCCATTTTCAGTTAAATTTTGTGAAAGGTGTAAGGTCTTTCTGGATTCATTTTTTTCCCATGTGTTTTGTCAGTTGTTCTGTCACTGTTGAAAAGGCTGTCCTTTCTCTATTGAAATGTCAAAGATCAGTCGACTATATTTATGTGGGTCTATTTCTAGGCTCTCTATTCTGTTGCACTGACTTATTTGTTCTCTCACTGCTACAACACTGTCCTGATTACGGCAGCGCTGGTGTGTGTAGTCCTCCAGCGTGTTCTTCATTATTGTCTTGGCTATTCTAGGTCTTTGTCTCTTCCACATAAACTTTAAAATCGGTTTGTTGGGGGCTTCCCTGGTGGCGCAGTGGTTGAGAGTCTGCAGGGGACACGGGTTCGTGCCCGAGTCCGGGAGGATCCCGCATGCCGCGGAGCGGCTGGGCCCGTGAGCCATGGCCACTGAGCCTGCGCGTCCGGAGCCTGTGCTCCGCAACGGGAGAGGCCACAACAGTGAGAGGCCCACGTACCGCAAAAAAAAAACGGTTTGTTGGTATCCACAGAATAACTTGCTGGGATTTTGATTGGGATTGTGTCGAATCTGTAGAGCAACTTAGAAAAAATGTACATCTTAACACTGTTGAGTCTTCCTGTACGTAAACATGGAATATCTCACCGTTGATTTCTTTCAGCAGAGTTTTGTACTTTTCCTCATATAGATCTTGTACATATTTTGCTACACTTATACCTAAGTATTTCATTTATTTTAGCTAATGTAAATGGTGTTGTGTGTTTTTAATTTCAAATTCCCTCGTTTATTGTTAGTATATAGGAAAACAATTGACTTTTGTATTTTAACCTTGTATCCTACAACCTAGCTACAAACATGTTTGTAGTTCTAGATTTTTTTGTTGTTGATTCTTTGGGATATTCTACAGAGAAAACTGTCATCTGTGGACAGGAGAGTGTTTTTCTTCATTCCCGACCTGTATACATTTTATTTCCTTTTCTGGCCTCTGGCATAAACTGGGACTCCCAGCACCAGGTTGCATAGAAGCAGTGAGAGGGGACTTCCTTGCCCTGTTGCTCATCTTAAGGAGAAAGCGTCAACTTTCTTTCTCACCATTAGGTAATGATGTTCGCTGTAGGGGGTTTGTTTGTTGTCTTTTCTGCTAAAGATAATCTCTTTATTCCACACATCGAAGGAAAAGAACCCTGCTCTTCTCCTACTGCTCTCTTCCTTCCCCTGCAGTTGGTTCTGTGTGTTGCTAAGGTCAATACTGTCCTGTAGCTATAAAGCCTTGCACTTTGTCTACAGGTTGATCCTCAAAGATGAAAATCAATAAATGGTATTTTGGGACTTCCCTTCGTGGTTAAGACTTCGCCTTCCAGTGCAAGGGGTGTGGGTTCAATCCCTGGTTGGGGAGCTAAGATCCCGCATGCCTCACTGCCAAAAACACAAAACGTAACTCAGAAGCAATATTGTAACAAATTAAATAATGACTTTAAAAATGGTCCACATGAAAAAAATCTTTAAAAATGGTATTATGATTATATAAATACTTTTAGCTGAATGGGAAACTAGTCTACACACTCTAGTTCCTTTCTTCTATGGTTTTTTTCATGGAGTTTTATGTTGACTTT